GAATAGTTTCATGCGTGAAAAATGGCAAACCAGGAAGATAATTAATTACTTTTACACAACTCGAGCATTAAGCAATTAAAATTGAGATTTAAGAAATTAAAACAAATAAAATAAACTGTTTTCCATTGAAGCGGTAAAGATGGAAAAAAAAAAAATGTCTCGACATCGAAACGATTTATTTGATCGAAATGCGACCGACCGTGAACCAGCCACGCACTTCTCGCCAGTCCTTGATACGCCGGAATTGTTATGCCGTGATTTGTAGGAACATTCACCCGTTAACCGGAACTAACGAAAGAAAGAAATCTTGAAACGGTCGATGCTATCTAATCTTGCAAACGAAATATACATGATCACTTCCTAATCAATCATAACGGTAAACAAGATTTGATGTCTCACAAAATGCAACTCACGTTTGTTAAAATAGAATATATTCAAATTGCATGCGGTTTTGCATTATTTCTAAGATATAGTATAATTTTTTTTTCTATTCATTTTGTATATTATATACAAGATTAGTTTGCTCTCTTTTTTTTTATATGCAATTACTCAATAAATTATTTTTATCGCTATGTATTATCTTAATTAAATACAAGTAACTTTATGCCGTCTTCTTGTAGTTGTTCAGGGCTTATGTTTGTACAATAAAGATTTCGCGAGAGAGATGTTTTATTTTTTTCACGTTTCCCAAGAATGTTCGCTTTCGTAAAAATACATATTGCAATATTGCTTTACTTTCAGAAATAGGTGAATAATTTGCACATCTTCGTCGCGTGTTATCGACGGAAGTAGGCATTTTTCGAGTTTCCGTTAAAAACGAAATCAGCTCATGGACGTTCAACGCGCGTGACGCGCGTTCAGCAAATTGCCAGCTTGCTACTCGTAAGACGGTGCTGCGCGCCGAAGGCGGGTAATTAGCAGCGGTACGAATGCACCTTTCGTGAGGTCGCGCCGTTACCTTCGATGAACAGGTTTGTTAGATTTGCTCCCCGAGTGAACCATTTCGGACTAGTTCGGACTCGTTGGGAGCAACTTTCGCGACGAGGCGTGCTTATCTATTACCTCGAGATGTTAATTTCGTTACCTCGATTACCCGAGGGTTACCCATTTCCGCGTTAATCATGTGGCAATAATATTCATAATCATGCGCATACATTTTAGTTTACGCGTAATAGCAGGAATAAATGAGCGATAAAATACTTAGAGACGTATGCAAACAGCTGTGCAGCAAGAAAGAGACCAAGTTACATGTTTACGGAACTCTCGAGTGTATTTAGTATATTGTAGCAAAAATGTATTCGATATAAATATGAAGGATATCATATTCCTTGATCTGAAGACTTGTAGAAAAAAAGCGTGGGATTAATAAAGAAATGACGGTTTTAATGATTATGAAAGTGATGCAATTCTCAATTCTGTTGCAAACAAATTTAAGCTTATATCCATGTTCCTCAAAGTTTTTTATAATTCTAAATAATATAATTTATATATAATTTAAATATAATTTATGTATAAATAATAATAATAAATAAATATAAGTTAACAAAACTTTACGTGCTAATTACTAACGTGATGTATTCTAAACCTATTAAGATTACAATAAATATAGTACATGTAATATTCTTTTAGGCAAGAAACAATTTTTATGACAATTGATCGCTAATGCTTAATTGCTCTTGCAATTATGTTAAATTATCTATGACGCTTCTGCTTCCGCGTATTGTATCATAAAACAGAGTCGAGCGTGATTAACCAATCTCTACGAGATTGCGTAGATAATAAACTACTGCATTTGTTCACGTTAGATTGGATAAGTCAGATTATTTATTCATTCGAGACCAACAAGGATGAGTAGTAAAACGTTATTGCTCATTACCCTGAAAATTATTTCAGACTCGGGAGCCATGAATACCAATATTGATGAGATATTATTTGTCCGCGTCTGCTACTTCGGATATTAAACAAATTAATGTATATTATTCAATGCCGTAACATCCTCCAAAGATAGCAGATTCTGCATAAACATCACGTTTTTTGCATTTTTTTTTTTTTCAATACTTCTTTAAGTTACATGTTCTGCTCAGTGACTAATGGCCTTGTTATACTTTCATAAGTGTCATTATCTGTGTTCCCGTAATTGATTATACAATTTTACGACAATACGCGTTTCACGGTAATTGGCACGTCCTCGATCGATTGATCGAGATTTTCCCTTCGATTCGATTTAATTCGCTTGGCCGACCGTCAGGAAGCAGATCGAAATTGTGAATTCGTAAATGTGTCGCGACGGTCAAAAGAAAACGCGATTGACTATTATTTGTCTGCGTCAAAAATTGTAACTTTAATTTTTTTTCTTGCAACACACACATGTTTATTAAATACGTCATAAGACATTAACGGCTTGTATAAATTTTGCTGCAAATTTAACTGTATCTAAATGTTCACGAGACGCATTATCGCTAGTGCGCCATTTTGCATTTGAGAGTTTGCGTAGCACACGTTATTGTAAAATATTCGCAAACAAATACAAAGGAGCGCGTGAGCGACGAGACAGGCCGATAAATCTTATTAGCTCGCGAATTAATTGACTCGACGGATCGCGCCGTAAATTTTCTTCTGAAATACCAGAGACGCTTGTCGCGTTTTCCGATATTCCTAAGAGAGGAAGAGAGGAAATCGCGCAACACAAGAAGCGCGTGCCGACACGCTCGAAAGCGAAATATCTCTCGGGCGAGCGACCTCGTTAATTAAACCGAATTTAGGCAAACTGAGGTCGTGTATACGTTACTCGCGCGCTCGCGCGAGTCCAGCCTTCCCTCGGAATCGCGTTGACCAGATTCGTGATATCCAGATATCTCGGAGTGCCGTCCGGATCGCCTCTCTTTACACAATGTCGCGGCTAATTAGCGGGTTAAGGTTAAGAATTCCATTTTTGACGAAGGTCAAGAAACCGCGGCCGGGCACGCGACGAGAGTAACACGTTGATGCCTCATAGCGAGCACTTTCCCAACGCGAGCAGGATTGCAAGAACGGAGAGTTGCTCGGAACGATTGCCGCAGCGCAACTATGATAAATGGGTTAGATATAGTTCACGTTAGCGAACGGTAATTAAATCGCAGACAGTTTTGACGTTGATAGGGCCCGGCAAAGTTACTCGTAAACTCTATCTTGCGTATATGGTGTGTACGTCGTTTTGTTGAAATCCATAATTATTGTAATATAATTCGTGTTCTCGCTATAACGCGTTTGCCTTATGCACGTGTTCTCTCGCGTTCTCTTTCACATGATTTCGAGAAATCTGGATGTTTCTTTTTTTCGAAGCTACACCAAACAAAAAATAATTACAACATTACAGTGTCAATTTTAACAGAATAATAGAATAATTAACGCATTTAATATTAATAATCAATATTGTTACATTAGGAACGTGTCGTACACTAAGATATCTCGTCCCAAGGTAAGACAACAGAAGGGTTATATAAGGGACAAGAGATTAATTTTTTTTCCTTTCTAATAACGTGTTTGCGGATGTGTAGTCGATTACCCTATTATCGTAATTATACGCATGAATGACATACATACACACATACGTATGTATATGTGTGTGACGGGAATTGCTTTTATGTCGGAAGTCACGAGATATATCCTGAAAATATTATATTGCCGTATCTTCGTCTCTCAGCGAAGGATTATACAGAAATTAAAATACAGTATTAGAATAACGATTATCCAGCCAACCGATGCTCAAGTGTAATTAACGTTAACAAGTAATCATACACGTGCAAGTATTACGTATTCTAACCGCAATTAAAAAAAAAGTAATTCATATTTAATTTACTTTTTCAAGAATTAAACCAAGTGCTTTTTTTAGTCAGATAGTTTTTTACCGAGACATGTGCAGATCTTTTTGATTTTGATTAATATAAAAATTAACATCTACTACCACATTTTTATAACAATTGCAATTAATATGCTGCATTTGATTTTTAATAAGAGCAACGAGTTTGATTGACTCTATAATTTTCTCTTCCTCTCTCTTTTTTAATTGATTTAAAAAAAATTTGAACAAAAAATTATTTGATTTGAAAAATGTGATTAGCATGTTAGAAACATTGTTCCCGCAACAGTAGATGACGTTATAATGCTGCACTCATGGGATAGAGATCCGGATTCCGATTGGGAGCATGATGCGATAGACATTGAGACGCAATGTCTGAAACATACATTAAGCGGTCGCATGCATTAGTTTGCCACATGAGATTACGATAGATAATTTGCCGTCTATGTGACCGAGCCTATATGATCAAAGCAAAGATTTATTGTCGCAAAAAAAGAAAAGCGTTGTGACTAAGCCGAGATTAATCTCAATACGCGCATATTCTTTTTTCATTCTTATATAATTAAAAAATAAATCACACTGTATATAATTTAAATATATAATAATTCATATGTATAACTATTATATATAATGTATATAATAATTCAAATAATATGTAAAAATTAGCAATTTTTATTCATATTACATATTTGTTATATACGTATTTATATTATATATATTCATCGATTTTCAACAATATTAAACGCACACAAATTTTTTTAGCTATACTTTTGAGATATGGAGTTACTTATATCGAAGGATACTTTCACCGTCTCATATATTATATGTACATATGTGTACATATACATATCCGATGCAGTATATATATATATATACATATATACATATATATCCAAAGACTTTTTCTTCTTCCTTGTCGTGACTCACTCCAATCGAAAATCATCGAATCAATCCGTCAGTTTACAAAAAATTTGCGGTTACACCTCTCTCGCGTGGCTGCTTCCTGTCCTCGTGTATCCCCGTGAGGCGAAGATTACCTTGACCATCACTCGCGCCCCTTGAAAGGGTAAACGAATCGAACGAGGGGGAACAGACGTCGGTATGCGGATGGCCTCCAACGGCGACATATAAGTCTCAGGATCGGTCCCCACCTGAAGTCAAACGGTCCTCTACGCTAAAACGAACAGCAGCTGTGCGCCTCCAACACTTCGGATCAATCTCTAGGGGAATCTTGCTCCGTTTTGCTCAGACAATCGGCAACACAAGTAGTAAACGCGCTTCTTTTCGGAGTGCGCTCCCTACCATCCGTGGCTACACAACGAGAACGTAACCCCCGCGAAGACAGGTGGCAACACCACCGTGCGCTAGACTCCTAGACTCGGACGCTTAACGAGAGTGTAACTGCAGTTGGCGGCCGACTTGTGCACGGCACACGGGAACGCGGAGAAACGCGCTTGTTCCGACTCGCGGCAGATTCGGGGGAAAGAGATCCAGAGAGAAAGAGAAATGAGAATCGTAAGTAATCGGCGTGTCTACGGATGCAACGCTAAAAGTGTCAGTAAACCTCGTGAGAGATAATAAGAAAAAGAACAGAGAGAGAGATTGTCCAAAACAAAAAATATAATTTTTTTTTTCCGGTTTCTTATTTTTGTACGTGACGCGTGTAACGAGAGTCGATCTCGAAAGTGTGCTTATAGTTCTAGACTAGTGAGACTAGTGTGCGCGACCAGGTATGTGTGTGTTACTAAGTTTCAATTTACATGTGTGAAAAATTAGAAAGTGATACACTCGGAGAATTTTTTTTAACCTTTAAAGATGATTAAAGGAACTTGTTGATCTTCGTACTGTTTAATTTTACTTAGATTGCTCGTCACAGCTGTGACGGTTTATTTAAACAAAACTTTCGTACTCACACGATCGTCGTATTGAGATTTTAACACTCAGTGTTATTTTCCCATAACAAATCCGAAGTCTATTTCAGATTCATTTGCAAGCGTAATATATTAAAACGGGATGAGAGAACGTTTACATCATTTCGTTGTAAAAACAAAAATATTCGATCTTAACTGTCTTTTAACTCGACTTTCTACGTTCTTATTTCCGGTACCTTGCGTTCGATAATAAAGTAAAACACGCTTTTCCACTAGTCTAGGCTTGTTGGAAAACGAATTACTCAGATTCGCTGCGTTAATTATAGTTGTAAAGTGGACTGCGAGCCGTCGCGATCTAATTTATTGTTACAACAACAATGCTTTTGTGTGTCAATTATCCTAGATTCCGGGTTTTCGTTTAATCAACGCTGTAAGATCAACGCGCCTTTAATTAGCCATTACGAGTTAAATAGATAAGAAACAGAATCTGTAAAAGTTTTTCTTTCAAGGAAGGTGTTCGTAAATATAAAGTCATACGTGACATTTGGTTGATCACCATCAAGTTCGTCTGCTAAAAGTATTTTGCATCAATTGCAAATGAAACATTTAAACAAAACGGAAGGAAGCAGTGACGTGTTTTTTTTATGGAGAAGATGTCTGTCTCTCTGTCTGGCAAACGGAATCCGCAAATATCACATGTAATAGTTCATTCACGAGATTCTAGCCTGTGGCGGGACAGGTCTACGGCCTTGCCCCAGGCTGTTGGATCGTTGTTGGCAAACCGACACATGCGATCGGCTTCGGATCATTCACACGTTACGTAACGCATGCACGTACCGAAGAGTAACTGCTACCGGGAAGATGTTCGACGACTATATTTGTAAATGTATTAAGTGACCTCTATCAGTTCGGATAGGTACATATGTTTCAAAATGTTAAACGACAGCGCGATATGATTTGATTTAAGTCGTAGATTTGAATATTGTCAAAAAATCACTCGATTGTTGAAGTGTCAAACAACAAATTGGTGTTTTTTATTTATAAATTTTACGAGAATCACTTAACACACACACACACACAAGAGATTACGCGTACAATCTATCGTTAACTTTACAAGTAAGTAGTATTGATTACTAAATCTCACAGTTCGACCTTCTTTGTTGTAGATAATAGCTGGCCTACTGCCAAAAGAGGAATTCTTGTAACACTATCGTAGACGTAAACAAGCTTGTTTCTCGAATAGGATGAATTTCTTTAGCGTGTGAACTTTCACTTGGTAGTTACTTTACTCATGTGATGCGTAAAAATGATGCGCTCTCATATTACTCTTGCTTATCGCACTCGAGTCGTGCTCGAGCGCGGTCGGAGAGAACCGAGTCCTAATTAAAGTCTACTGTCAACTCATCTTGATTACACACTTAGAACAACATTTTTTTTTCTAGAAGTTTTAAATTCTAAGCGCAAAACAGTAATTTCATTATGATGATAATAATAAAAATATTTTTTTTGCAATATTTCGCCTAATATTGGGTTGGTCAAAAAGTCTTTTCGTATTTTAATATGAATTTTAATACGAAATTACGAAAAGACTTTTTGACCAACCCAATAGTGAGTACTTGTTTGAGTTACATTTTGTAAGTTGTTGATTTAATTGCTTATCAATATTTTTCCATACAACGACGTGCGCATCGAATCAATTTTGCAAGAAAGCGCGCCTTTCGGCTCGTAAAAGAAGCGCGGAAAAAATAACACTTATTTTCTTCGCAAAAGAGGCGTTGTTACACCGAGATGCCTTCGTTCGAACACCGTATAATTTTTCACCTCTCTCTATATTCCAAGAATCTCTTCAACATTCTTGTTAAACAATAGGTTTTCCTAGTCCGATATACTTTACACTTTCTTCTTTTTCAACGTAGAGCTGCGATTTTCTGCGATTGAACATCAGATTATTATGTAATCATTGTAAAAGAGAGTTTTTCTCTAATATTGATCAGATTTGTCTCGCTGTCGGGTTTCGTGAGAAAGAGGAAATTGCCGATCGCGTACCTGCATGTTCATGTTAAAAAAGAAATTTCATGCGGGCACTGAAATCCACGGCTAAACTGTATACCTACTTCGCCGTATCGTTGGCGTAACGAATTGTGACATGTTAGGCAAGTAGGTGGAAACCAAATAGCTCGTGAAGTCGCAAGTTGCAGCTTAACATAGCGACATAATTCCTTTTTACGCGTTAAACATTAACATTTGCAATCGAATCGCAATTGATCTCCGCAAACTAGAGTGTGTATTAACATTGCTCAAACACATTTCTCGCGACCTGTGCAATATAGTGAAGCGATACTGTCATTAACTTGTCAATTTTGACAAGTTGCCTTGCTCCGACAAGGATAATTGCACATACTTCTATTGGAAATCAAAACTCGAAAATAGCACTTAAATCTCGGCAACGAAGTACAAATATGTGGAGGAAGATGTTTCATAATATATTGGAAGAGTTCGTTTGACATTCCTCTTTTTTTTAGAAGTTGTATTTGATAGAATGAACACACACACACACGCGCGCGCGCGCGAGATGTTGCGATTTGTAATTTGACGTAACTACGAAAGAAATTTTTAACTAATTAGCTTCGCTGTAATGAAAAGAAACATAAACCAGCGGGGTAATTGTAAGCAATGTTGACGTCAAATAACATAGAAACAAATTAGATTTTAATTTAATTCTGTTTTTGTTTTCCATATCAGTAATTATACGTACGTATAAAATGTAAATAAATTATATGCACGGACATACAAGTGACCCACCTAATACAATATTGCATCACTACTTTCTATTACACGTTTATTAATAATTAAAATCACGTTTATTTATCACTTTTTATACAGCAATAAATCCGTTAAAAGAAAGGAATCTCGATATCGCTCTTATGCGCATTTAAATGTTCTTGAAAATATAGACGTAATTTGACTAACATCGAGTAACATTAATCGCGTGTAAAAGTTCTTCCGGAAATAGTCGAGTATGGTTCGTTACACTCGACGCTTAAACGCGGAAGTACGCTTTTAATAAACAGACAATGCCAAGTATCTGATCGTACTATCGCAAAGTGCTACAGAAAATATACTCCTTAGACAGTAGCCCGAGGATGTGAACCTCTGTTTTCGACGTAAGATCACTGACAACGCGGATAGTATAAATTTAATAGCACAACGAAATGCAACAAAAACTTTGCTTCCCATTTAAAGTGCATGTATCGCAAAAAAAAACAAGATTCTTTTCAATGACTCAATAAATTGTCTTAAGCTTACTTAAGTATCGAGTTAACGTAACACGAGGTTTGTGTTGTTTTATTAACATAGATATTACCAATTAGACACACGTTATTATGTAATATTAATATCACAAGGCACTAAATTCACCGATTTTCTCTATCACTATATTTTAATACAAAATAGAACGCAAATTTGTGTTACATAACACAGCGGTCAGGATATACACATATACGTTCTCGTTGACGTAATAATACTAGTAAAAATTATAGATGCAGGCGGTGTAGAGATCAGCGAAATCAAGTCTATCACACCGGTTTGTTATCTTTTTTCATTTCAAGTTGATTCCTGTCGAGACACTCGGATAAAAATTATAATAGAATAATTGACACGTCGTTGTCGTGTCAAAATATAGATAATCAATAGAATCTTTATCTTGATGACTTGATATAACAGAATAATCAGTCAGTTTGAGTGATTAAGTGATTTGTTACAGTGTTTGAAACAAACGTCACGATCGCTAAAAGGAATATTAATGATTACCGGTCTTTTGCAGATATCAAAGAATCAACTTCACACACACATGGTTTTTATTATTCTTACAAACAATTACACGGTTAATACGAACACCAACACTACAATACACAAATGTCTAGGATAAATCACAGAACAATTAGATATTTTACATTTCTCAGCAGATCCGATTTTCACACACAGCTGATATCTATACGCACGTGTTTCTGTGCAATATCAATGAAAAAGCGAGGATTCTTCTAATCCCATAAATATCGGTGACGCGTTTGCGATGTATGAGTTATCATATCACAGAAGATGAATATTCATCGGCGTCGCGTCTCGCGTTCGATTAATCGTCCGGAGACGACGCGAACAAAAAACAAAACGCGAAGTGAAATACCGCTCGCGTAATAAAATGTCGTTCGTTCTATCGCATTTTTTTCTGTAAAACGGTGTAATAACGAACGTCGCGGGGTGCGAACTTCGAGCGCGGTGGAGAACAATCACACGAGACGCTATATAGAACGCCGTCGATCCGTCAATCTCGGGCGATAGTAAAATTCGCGGTCGTAAAGCAAATTGTTTGTGGGCGTGGAGTTCGCGTCTTTTCGCGCACAAGCAAAGCTCGAAATCGCGCGCGATCGTAGATTTTTCCTCGCAATCATCTGCTTTATTCGCGGAGATATCAGGCCGGTGTGATCTCCCGGTCACGGTATTACGCACATGTGTGTCGTATACTTACTTTGTAGGCGACCTCGCACAGAAACGGCGATGCCACCGAGTAACACGCCGCGCCCGGCTAACTCTCTTTCTAAATTCTCTCGACTCTGTTTTCTCGCGTTGTGTTATCGAATTTCCGCACGATTGACCCTTGTATTGTATAATCGCGAGCGTGATCTTCCAGTCTGAAGGTTCTATTGTCGTCTCACTCAACGAGAGATGACACTTCACCGTCTCGATGTGCGAAGATAAATTGCTTCGGGCGCAGAAGTACGATAATATATGATGCGAGACAATATAAGTTTCGAATCGCGAGGTTGCTCGTGTAATTACGTGTAATCAGATTAATTCTCGTGTCATACCGTCTCCGATTTTTGTGTCTAACTGTGTCGCGCGCGTGAGTGTGATATCCTAAAAGGAACACGAAAAGTTTTTGATAAAGATCCTTTCAATTGGACAGTTTCGAGGAAAACATTAATGTTAATATTGTAAATGGACTTACTTCTGTGCGTTATTATCGCACTTTCCACACACACACGCGCATACATATATATATAAAGATATATCTAGTTGTTTAATGTGTTTTGTTGTAAAAATGTGTATTTGCGACAACTCTGCGTGGCTACCTCGTTTCGTCGATTTCGACGAAATAGATTATTGGCTATTATACATGACCAATTTACGAAGTGAACACACACGTGTCTCTACACTCGATAATAATCAGAAACAAGAAAGCGTGCGTTTCATCTCGCTGAAAAAATCGAAAGCGCGGCAAAGCGCGCCTTTATATTCTCCTCTAATGGTCGTTTTTAAATTAATTAAAACTACTGTCAATTTGTGCCGTTTCGCGGCTCAACCTACGCCGTTAACATGTCTCTCTTCGATCGATGTGTTTACTCTATAGAGAAAGAGATATGCCCGTTTCGTTGAATAACGTTCAACCTCATTTATATATCGTTGCGCGACCTTCTATCGGTCAATTACGCTTAAGAATCGACGTTATTGCGTTCAAACTCGCGAGATAACAATCCAAATCGATCGGAATTCCACACGTCCGAACCGTCGAGAGGAAAAATAGTTATAGCGCTGCGTATAAATATCGTGACCGACGTTAATTTTCCACCGATGACGACGTGCCGACTCCGTTTTCTTACATATAAAAATAACAATAAAAATCAATTCTCGCAATTTAAATCTCAGAATTCTGACAATCACAGCAAAACCCCGTCGATCTCGAGATTTCGAACATTAGTTTCGACGCGAAATGAATTTATTTACGTACGGAATAGATTTATGCCGAATTTTTAAACAAATAACGATTGCGAAACACTGTCGAATGATAGTCGAATTTTTTATCAAGCCAATACCACCTTGACATTGGCTCCGCGACGCGAAAGAAAGTCACGCAAAAAGTCACTCTCGACGGAAAGTGGCCGTGGCTGGCGGCCTCACCTTGCCTTTGATACAGAAGTCTCTAGCGGAGGAAACAAACCGCAAGCAGACTCGCATTGTACCAACGATCGTGTTCCGACGATTGAGATAATAACCTTTATCCGATGATTGCACGGAGAGAGCCGGTTCCGTAATTGCGAGAAACGGTGTCCTTCAGCGATCTCTTTGATGCTTCGAATGAAGAGAATCGTAAATCGACCGTAATGATTTCGTCGGGCTTTGCGTAAGGTACGAGAAGGAAACGAAACTAAGGCTCGTCGAAGATCTGTGTTGCATTATTTCGAACCTATCTCGAATGCGCGCAAAATTCATTGGAGTTTATAGAGCGATACTGTGGATTTTCATCCGTGCGCGTTTGCATCACACAATTTCGCTTCATCTTCGCTTTCAACCACACGTGTCTAGTTTTTTTTTTTTTTTTACGAAATTATTTTTAATTAAGTTTTAAAATACAAATCTTTTCGATGCAATAACGAAAAAGCGTAGAAGTCCTACATTCGCTTGTGAGTAATTTTACAGAGCAGTTGGAAAAGTGTGTTACGGTGCGTCGTAAATTTTCTTTTGCCCACGTTGTAAATTGTAGATTAGAAGCTTGGTCAGTCGATCGATCAGTCGTAAAAATTGTCACGCAACTTCGTTATACGAGCGATATAACTTCAAGGATCGGAGAGCACGCGTACAGCGTAGGCTGTAAGCAAAGGGATGTAATTCCGGTCTTTACGGCGCGCAATTTTCAACGATGACGCTGCGCCCAACATTTTGCACGCGCTCCAAAGCCTATCTCGATAATTCAAAACCTGTGCTTAGCATCATTATGCGGGTAGTGTCATTATTTAGCACCTGACAGGCTAGGCTTGGCGCTATAAAATATCGACAATTATCACAATGACGGTTAATTTTCGGACAGCTGTGTGTGCAAAACGAGGGAAATTATCCTCGCGGTTGATTCTCGTTCGTATGTTCGCGTTACAGAAAGCAAGTTTCGTCAAGCAGCTGTTGCCTCACCCGAGAATCCCGAGTGTGATGATTAGTCATTACGCGAGAGAGCGCTTTTGACTGACTATTGCGGATGCAGTGAAATATATATTTTTTCGTAATTCTTTAACGTTTCCTCGTCCTATCTGTTACCTGAGTCTGTGTAAATTTACGTTGAACGTGTGTGTGTTATGGGGAATGAATCTTGATTACGTTCTGCGTCTGCCGATTTATTAGAACAAATTCTACGACAGTTTTGTGTAACTTAATTGAAAATCAATATTAAATTGAGGATTTTTAATTGAAAATATTTGTAACAAAAACTTGGAAACGCGTCTGAGTTAGATCTGCTGTTTTCTTTCTTACTTACATTAATTTTTGCGTCATTTTTTACATTTTCTCAATTTATGTGAACAAATGAAAAATTGTAAAAAAAAATTAAAAATTTCTTGCTTCTCGTGATTTCCACACACGAGACTCTTATCTATTGTCGCAGATTTGCGATCTTTTTTGCGAAACGTCTTTATTTGTTTTGTATTGCGTATGAGATGTGTGATGAAAAAGAATATGAGGAAACGACTAATTTAAACCTTAATGAAACACACTTTTGTGTGTTTTTGTGAAAAAATTGGATAAAATCGGAATACAATACGAGCGTGTACATTTGTTGTTGCAGATAATTCTAGTCGCATTCGTCGTGGCCATCCTCGCGGTTGCCTCGGCCCAGGATTTCAGGCACTTCTTCGCGGGATTTAGTCCGTACTCTCAAATCGCAGTAATGAGAGACCCAAGATCGAACAGAGGCAAGTTATTTATTAAAAAATCCCTCTGATGAGATCAAAGAAGTATAATAAGATTTTTGCGTTTCTACAACTGCAAGCTACATCAATTTGCATAATTCAAAGATAATTTATCGGTGCGTAATTACTCGCAATCTTTGATTGCTCATTGCGAAACAATTGCGATTGCGAAACAATCCTTTTCTTTTTTTTTCTTTTTTGTCTATGCGCTGTTATTGCAGACTTCTCGAAGTACTTGGTGAGATTTATGGAACAATTCGAAAAAATCTCCGCTTTACTAGTCTATCCTGCATCGGGAAACTGAAAATCACGTGCAATTACGACAATTTTTTTTATTATGTTTTTCTCTATTTGCATAGACCTGAAAGAAACTGCCTCGTGTTATTTGCAAAATAATAATAGTGCATTCTGATTAATGCGCTCGCGTAAAATTCTTGAATCTCGTTCGAAAGTTCTTCCTCGACACGAAAGATTTCTCGGAAACAGATTCTCGCGTTTCACGATGTTATCGAAAGATGTAACAAGGTATAATTATAATTATTTTGTGTATACCGCATTAATATGAAAAAAAAAATCTTGTGTTGCATTTTACACGATAACAATCTCCATAATGTTACCGTTGCGATTACATAACAATTCACAATTTTAACGCGAACAATGTAAATTAGCGATAAGATTAATATCGAAGTAAATTCTTTGTTATATTTTCTCACTTTTTTTCGCAACAAAAAAAGTTGTGCGATAAATTTTGTATAATTAGAAAAAAAAAACGATAATTATGTGTAGCAAAACTGGTTATTACAAGTTGAGAAACGCGTTTTATCTCCACGAATAATATTTCTTTTAATAAATGCAGACGCATGTTCTGTCACATGTCTGAATTAGTGTCGCTCTTATTTGTTTAGTCTGCAAAGATTGTATAATGACCATTGTTTTTATCACGCTTATATTTTACTCTACCGAACCGTAAAGATATACATGTAAGATATAAAAGGAATGTTCTTTGGAGCGCTTTGTGTTATAATCAAACGATCGATTGCGAGCAAGAACAAGCTTGGACAATCGCGTAGAGTCTCGCTACTACAAAACTATTACCGCTTAGATGATGTGGAAAACTTTTACCGGAACAACGATGCTAGCTGCAACATTTAACACACGTGCATACATAACGAAAAGAAAGTCAGTCATTTTCATACACGTGTATCGCGAATATCATGAATTTTATAGCAGAATTTTCGACATAACTCTCCGATCGTTGAAATAGTTTTTTTTTCTTTACAATAACTTATTTATCAAGGATCATACGTATATGTTTGAGGATCACATTTGTCTGTAAATCTATTCTGATACATTTTTTGTTCTTAATTATTATATACGGTCATTAAAAGATTCGAAATGTAATAGGTGTCAATATCTAATTTCTAAGAAATGAAGTTAATGGAGCTGCTTGTTTAAATGGCACTTGTATTGCGCGAGTTGCACAAGGATATGCGATCTTTGCCACTCGTTGAAACGTGCTTGTAACGGTTTTGAAACGAGTGTCAAGTTCAACTGCGCGTACAATAAATATAGCGAGGTGTATTATCCGTCTGACGGTATGTTGAACAAGCGGTCATATAAATCACATATTAATTCGCCAACGCGCGCGATTCTAACGTTCAACTTGCACGCAATAGAATTCTGGCGGAACGTACTATTTACATACAACTTATCCACATTTATATTGCGCGATATATATACTTGTTTTTCGAGCTCATGCATTTTAAAAAAATTTCTGTAGTTCTTGTTACGCCAGTAACAAAACTTCCAATTGAATCGCGTCATTAGAAGAAACGATTAACGCTTCCGATTAACAATCCGTCTTATGCTATATAGATCGGCATTATACCGAGATTACCGAGATGACAAAGAGTCTGCGCGATCATTAGCGCAACATCGGAAGCCTAAATCAGTTGAATTAATCGTCCGTTTGTCTTTTTCTTTTCTTTTTTATTGCTGCTAAATATTCATAGCGATTATTCATGAAAGAACGCGCGTGTTTGCTATTCTATTCCCGCTACTTCGTCGCGAATGACAGAAAGAAGACGTAAGACATTGAAATCTGTTATCCGCGCGGTAAGATAATTATTTTAATCAATCTTGTGTGTGTGTGTGTGTGTGAGTAAAGACCGTACCTATTATCATGAATTGATTAATGATACGATTATGAAAGAAATAACTTCCGTGTTAGAAGAGATTTTCACTGCTTTTCCACACAAGAGATGTGTATAAAAGGAACTTTCCTTCAATATCACGTAACACTGCTATTAGAGTAGAACCGATCACAAGTTCGTTGTAATATAATATAAGATACACGTTTTAAATTACAAGCAATTTTCAAATAATTTTCGTTTTAAACGATCGTTAGTTAGAAGAAGTAACGTTTTAATATTATCTTCGAATGTGCTGAAAGAGTAAAATTATTGTCTTGTTTTAGTAAAACATGATGACAATAATTTCCGCTGATCTTTGAAAGCACATTATGTAACTACAAAAAGAATAACTAACGAGCGGATAATATACGCTTCATATCTTACAATAATCGGTAAAATAAAATATCAGCGGTATTAAAAATTAGTATTATTATTAGTCTGAAGATAAATGTGAAAAATTTACATTTTTAAATAGATTAACATTTAAATAATATATTAATATTACGATGTTTTTTCTATTTCATGACTAAACATATAATTAAACATTGTGTTTTGTCCCAATGACCGTGAGGACTAACAGTCGTAATCGGATCGAGCAAGTTTCTAATCCGTCAATCGTTGAACAACTTCGATAAAGATCAAAGTATCATTTGCGATATCTCTATAGCTTATCAAGTTCACGAAGTAAACCAGTATTTATTCTAACGTGTTATTGTATTGCAATAAGCAATTGCGAACCGATGATTGAGAATATTATTAGAACAATAGATCTTTTAAAACAAAAAAAAAAAACTTGCGCTAAGAGTATTGTGCGCTTTCTTTTTTCTCGTATGATTTAATTTATTATATGTAGCCTGCAGTCTTTACACGCAAATGTAAAATTTCTGACATCGCGACGAACAATGAGAGCGATCTTACAAGACGTTGAAGAGAAAATGTGTGAATGCATCTGACATCACGATTGTTTTGTCTTTTGACAGGTCCGATATTATTCCCACCTGGACCGCCACCCAATTCGGCCGACACCAGCGGCGTCGTTGTAGGCGCGAGCGGATATGGATTCGTGCCGCCACACACAGGTAATTTCGCCAGGTTCTGAGAATCAAACAAAATCCTGATGCACCAAAACCAAAATAAAGCAAAAAAAAAAACAAAAAAAAACAAAACAAAAAGATTGAAAGGGAAATGGATCGGTGGTGGAACACGAGTCGACGAGTCCTTCACATGACCGACTTCTGCATGTAATGCAACCCAAAGAGTCGCCGAGACCAAAGGATAACAGAATAAACAAAAAAAAAAGACAAAAAAAAAAAAAAGAAAAAAGTGAGAGAGTTAATGTCTCTCGCGTGATCATGCAATTACCTCTTCCGTTACCTTCTGCACACAACTTATGTACAAACACGATTCATTATTTGTCACATCCGAAGTAACATCGTCGACGATGTATGCAATTTTTTTCCCGTAACTCTTTTTTATAATCTTCTTTATCATCAAGGGTGTTGTGCATGTATCACAATCACTGTTATGACATTTATTGTTTCACACGCTGTTCGGAGAGAGTCACGCAATGCGTAGTAACGCACATTAACACACCTTCAAACACACCGGCAATGGAATTACATAAAACGTCTACGCGCGTGTTCAATTGTAACACTGGATGAAGAGTTTGAAACGCGTTTTTGCGAGTGTTGTGTAAAAAGAAAATTGTAATGCCATTGCTGGTTCTTTGATATAAAGTTAAATAATTAATATAACAGAATGCAATCGAATGTGTTTCAATGCAACTGCGCAATATTGCATGTTGGAAAAACGTTATAATATTATTATAATATACATAAAATATAATAGAATACATATAGATGCGTAATTATGTTATTAAAAGTTGTGCGACTGTTTGATCATCATCCTTAGTTGTTACAATGGCGTTATATTAAAAAAACTATATGCTGTAAATGTAATAAAAACTACTGCTAGACAATTATCGCAAAAAAATTGTACGTACGCGTGAGCGTCATACGAATTTCGACAACCTCCTCTTCTCTCGTATTATGTAACAAAGACAAATTGGCTCGTTAAAAAGTTAAAACTACCCAAGTCCAACCACCGTGTCCAATGCACGTGGTTGAGTTTCAAATTGGCAAACCGCAGAAATTTCCTCCCCATTACCCTCGCCCCATTACGTTCTCGCGAAGGTCGATTTCGCTACTTCCTACGACGACGTGTTCGATCCTTGAATCTCGACTGAGATACGTCGTCGTCGTCTTGCGAACGCGCTAATGTGGTGTGAGCTGCTATCTCTCGTCGAGGATGACAATCGGCTCGTCTCATTACGTGTTCTCGCGGGAAACTTTATGACGTTACAACGCGGGCACGTTACGATCGCGAGGCACGTTCGAATCTCACGACGTGTCTCGCTTCATTGCTGCTCCCTTCGGATTGCGCGATCGGATTTGATCGCGATCGTTAACAGCGAGACGCGATACTAATATGTGGTACGAGGGGTTTTTTTTTTCTAAGTAACTGGTGCACTCCCATCGCATGTGATAGAAACGCACTGACAGATATAAGTAACGTAATGATTCTAGAAGACTGCAGGTAAGTATATAAAAATTACATATATGTACATACATATTTGATATCTGCAATTGACGTTACCATAATTGAACTCCGCAAATGTCGAAGCAAATGTTCAATATCGTACGTTCCCCTTCTTTACTGTCTATGATTACACGTCGGTGAGCAACAAACTATTTTTTTTTTCCCCGTAACGGGAACTTTCGCTAGATCATTATCTTATTAACCTTGTCAGTGGTGTCCAACATACACGCGCACGCACGCACGCACACATATACAAACCGTTTGCCGTCAGCTGTTCGAAGCAGGAACAAAGTGAGATCAGGTTCTACGTCTACGATCATCGATTTGAGTCTGAAATCTACGCGCGCTAGTAGAACCACAGAGAACAGGTTTTTCTTGCGCAATCGTATCCGCGATTTCCGCGGACGTAACGCGAAGGCAACGTGATGTGTCTCTTCCGGTAATTTTAAGCGCGCTCGCTCTCCGCTTTCATTTTTACGCGCCTCGTCCTTCGCACCTGCGTTCGTTTCGTATCGAGATAGACTCATCAGACTGGCATAACGAGACATAATGAGAGACGGCAGAAGAAGGGAAGAGGTTGAAAAGAAACAAAAACAATCGCGGGAGAAAAGGAACGCGAAGAAGGACCCTCGTACTTCCTTCTTCCGCGAAACCGATGATACGCAGCTGGAGATACCGGTTTTCTCGTGCGGGGAATCTTCCAGCCTTGGAACATGCGCGAGAGCGTTCGCCCGACAACGACGACGACGGTTCGGTGAAAGCGAATTCGATGGCCTCGGTGTGGTTTAAACTCGTTTTACAACGCGTAACCTTACTTAAGTTACTCCATTGCGCGTAACAGGTGTTACGAGGTCGTCGAAGCGACAAGGTTGCCTTTTTGGTCAGCGACACACGTTATTCGGATGCTGAAATACAGACAGAGGTAAGATAAACGGGGATCAACGATCACACGCACGGTCAAGTTCGAGCAATTATCTCTCTTTCACGCGGGGATCCATTCCCGCGTTCAATTATAAAGAGAAGGTCAAGACAGAAATTATTATATTATATTTGTAAATGTTCAGATTAATGCAAAATGTATTGAATAAGAAAACTTTTCTCAATGATGCATGGGTTCAAGGCTTTTGTCAATATTTGTTTTTCGTCATAATCTTCAAGAATTCTTTGAAGAAATTAATAAATTGCCGTCTAAAAAAAAACAAAAGTTTTACTTAAAAATAGTGAATAATTGATTATAAAAAATTTATTATAACATCTTTTGAGTCGTTGATAAATATAATAGTATTTTTATCCGTTAAAAGTCGTGATCGATATTATTCTCAAAAAAAATAGAATATCTACATAATCAAAAATATTTTCAGCAATCGAAAAACGACAAAACGATACTTATCGATCAGCGAAACGCGTGAGAACGTGTCGATTGAGCAATCTGAGCGTCTGTGCAATTCGATATAAGAAACGCAGAAAGAACATAACCGCGCGCTCAATGCGTAATGCGTTGATACAAACGGCTCTCGCAGCATTGTTACCATAAGACGGTTTACAATTTCCGCCGGAAAATAATTGCTCAATTGTAAACACAAATTGTGCCAGACAAAAACTTATAAACACCTCGCACTATAGATACGTCTTTTATGTATCAGTTACAAAACTGCAAGAAAATTGAGAAAATTTAACGTGTATTCGTAAAGTGCGGAGAGTTGTGTAAAAATTTTTAAGTAACTCTATATGAACAATAGAAACTTTATCTTTCGATCTCTAAAACTTTTCGCGATAGGCACCGCCGACGATACAAGTAAAACTCGCGTGTGCGATACAAAAGAAGTGAATGTGACAGTCGAATGTAAATGTTCTTCCTCGCGGAGAAACACGTGCCGGATATCGAGGGAAAGCTTGTACATCTCGCACCTTACAACATTTCGCGCTCGTTAATACACGCACATTGCCACGCGAGAGAGAGAGAAAGAGAGAGAGAGAACATCGTGAATCTCGGCGATTAAACGTGATTAACGTCATGGCGCGTTTAGGAACGAAGGAACGTTAAAGCCCGAAAGTAAGGCGCGAGATGTTGTAGCTGAAAAACCACGTATTTTATCAGAACAGCTTCAAAGATTAACCAGTCCGTTAGGAGATAATGAGCGTAAAGTATAATTTAATTCCCCGGCAGGAAATAAAGCGGCTTCTCTCAGAAATACGTTTACGCTAACTGGATTAATATAGCTTAGGAACCAGGCGAGATTCTCGTGCAATTCCTAAGCGTTAAATGTCCGTTTAACACGCGCATGTTGTGATAATTACATAATTTTAAACCTAATCTCATCAGAGTAATAAAATCAAATATTTGCAAATATTTTCGCTTCTATATATTTGTTTTATTTATATAGAACAGTTTAATTGCAAAATATGACAAATTAAATTTTCACAATACATTCTTTTGTAACACACAAATGAACACATCTCGTTTCAATAACATAAAGGCGTGTCGTAAATCGTGTGCAGTTAAACAAACAAAATAATAGACGGTGAAACACGTTGATGCGAGCTCGAACGACCGTTCGTTCCCTTTAATAGTTATTAAACCAGACGATCCGCATTTAATTACGCGCAACACGCAAAACCTGGTGACCCCCTCCGGACGTTCTTGACGGAAATTTATCTGAGACTGAAAGGAAGAAGGCGTGAAAAAAACGAATTTTCCCTCAAAAAAACTCCCCGTCGTCGGTATTCCCCGCGGGAACAAACTCGTAACTTAACGATATCTCCGTTAAATACTTTTTCACGGGACATTAATTTGGAACTTCGGATGCAGAGACATCGCGCGAGTGAGTAAAAAAAAAAAAAGTTAATAGGAGAGTGATCCGAATATAAAAAACTAAAATAAAGTTCCAGCACATTTGACTAACCAGCTGCAGAACTCGTTCGATTCTGGCAACGTGGGTGTTTCGCTTCGAGGTACAATTTAATCGCAACTTAATTACATCTTGCGTTATATATATATATGTATATATTTGTTGCAATACATCTCATGTTAATGTAGCATTTTTTGTACAACAAATCTTTCAACATTTCTCTTTAAGAGATAAATGTCGTACAATTGAGATGTGTGTGAGTGAAAGTCAAATCATGCGTGCATCGAATGGGAAAATGATAAAATTGTGCAATTTGCGCAAAATTGCACATAATGGGTATGTAATTATCGTGTAAAACCGACGACGGTGATTTTCAAGTCGTCAACAATACGACCTGCAATTGCACATACATTGTACATACACGTTTATTCTTTGAATACACAAATCGTTTTCAAGCTAGTAGTAGGACTTCCTTGCCACCGTTTATTGTTGGGACGTTCTCGCGTTTAAATTGACTATAATCAGAGCGAGCAGAATCCTTTCGACTCCCTGTGCTAATGGGTTCTATTCGGATCCCTTGTTCGCTTCGCGGTCGGCTTTATTATCGACGCTGCGTGCGAGTACGTGTGTTTTCCGCACGAGAGTGAGAATGACAGAGAGAGAGAGAGAGAGAGAAAGGAAGAGAAAGAGAGAGAGAGAGAGTGCGTGTGCGTGTGCGTGTGTGTGTGTGACAGACAGACAGACAGACAGACAGAAACAGAGAGAGTGCCAGAGGACCGGAAAAGCGAGCACTTACTAATCAAAGGGCGTAGGCAAAAGGGATGAGGTCAGTGCTGCTAGGGCGGGCGAGACAAGGTGACGAGGGTCTTGTAATTAGCGGCTTTGAAGTGGTATCACCCTCGCTACTCATTAGCGACGTTCAGGTGTTCCGAGTATTAGTCGCTGCGAGCGAGACTTTCGACTATGACAATTGGAAATGGAAATCGCACAGGCATGGTGTAGGTCTTGCGCCGAAGAATTCCCAATGGTGCGATGAAAATTCGCGTCGCGCACAAGAAATGATGCTCCGTAGAGAGATATAACGTGAGGAAAATAAGAAGAACACACAGGAAGAGAACGACGAGAAAGACGAAGAAAATCAGAATTTGGTTGCGCAAGGGAAATCGAGGAAGTTGAAAAGCAATTTTGTCGCGGCTCGACGATGACGAAGAATCTGTCGAAATTCGCCTACGTAACAACGTATCTCGTTGAGCGGAAGTGCAAGCGGTCGAAAATCGATCTTCCTCGCTTCGTTTAGTTCCGCAAATTCGCAACGAAAGATATTATAGTAATAATTCGTCAATTTTACTTCACACTCGTTGTGACATAATTTGTGTAGCATTAAATATTTCTTGTTTCTCGAACGAGGGAATTTATTAATCAACATTTTCCAATTATTTTCTATATCAGATATTTGAAATATTTTGATAGCGAAACTTAATTTGCTGCAGGTTACATCTACTTCGTCTACTAGATGATGAATGAACGACAAAGTGACAGAAGACGACAACTTGAGGAAAATGGTGGGTCAAGGTTTCGGACACGTCACGGCTCGCGGACTCCAATCGGAAATAAATGATAAACTCACATCAGCAGTGCGCGCGGTCGTTGAAGGAAGGACGAATCTCTACAGCAGTAGACTTTGTGCAAACGCATTTAACAGCACACACGCGTGAGAAACTCGTCTATCTTCCGTGAACTCTGCGCGCGGGAATTACGTAAAGTTTTTCTCAGGACTTATATTAGCGCAATACAAATAGTTATCAACGTTTTGAGATACAATAGCAAGAATCGTACCTAAATTACGTAGTAAATAGTAGTTGAATACGATATTAACGTTTACAGGTGAAAGTTGTATGAAATAGAGCGCAGTAATATAAATATAAAAAAAAAACTCACGTTATTTCTTATATACGTTTCTTTGATTTAAGTATCAAATGCGTTTGAAAAACCGATTTAATAGCGTTGGAATTAATAGCGGGGCAGCTTAAATATCGTTCTGTGTCGAAATTGATATTACGCCACTTAGTCATGACTACTTAAAGTCGCGATAATCTCTCGCACGCGGCAACAACCGTTCGTCGTATCTATGTATAATGGAGAGTCCACGAAAATACGAAGTCGTATTTTATGGCGCATTACCAGCGAATACTTGCGCCTTAGCGACGTCAAAGGCGTGGATAATTGGCAGCAGCAGAAAAGCACGACAGTGCGATCCTAGAACAAAGCGAGCGGGGCTGAATAGCGATTCGCTCTGGCGTTACAGAGTCGAGATATAATATCCGCTTATGAAATAAGACCGATAAATAGGTGAGTGCGCGCGAGCGCGCCTCTCTCGCCTCGGAGAGATCCGACGAAAATAATTAAACCCGGCGGTGTGTTTTGCTGACTGGTGAATTATATATTGCGACTGTGTGCGAGGGCGATTTAATTAAGAGTAAGATAGCCGTTTTCGGGCAAACAGCCGCTGTGCTCGTTACGGATCCAAACCGATCCGCGTTCAAGATGTTACGCTCGCCGCGCGCGCAAAGCTCGGCGCGGAGTTATTTAATAAATAAGTATAATACGTAAGATTGTTTGTAAATACGATAGATTGCGAGAGGTAGAAAGAGCAAAGATATATGTGTAAGAGGAGTGTCGCGAATCAATGGGGCGCGTTTTCAGGTGCCGCCGACGCTTTCGTTTCCGTGTGTGACTTGGTCATGGTTCTTTAAACGCGAGAACGTTACATTCTACTATCGACTGGCGCGCATTATATTGCTCAGTTTCTCCGCTAATCAATTCCGCACGAGTTTGTTTTAATCGTATGCACGATAGCAAAATTTATATGCAAATTCACCCAGTCCCGTTTGATTCGTGGCAGACTGTCAGAGATTTAGCGAAAACATCCGCATTCCGAAAGCAATCAAACTTATTGCATTTACTCGCGTTAATGTGTCGAATTAAAATTAATTTTTATATAAAATATGTAAATATTGTGTAAGTTGTATAAGAATATATGAAATAAACGTACGTCTTTATATCGGTTTAAATTTTATCGTGTCGAAAAATCACAAAAAATCTCACCAACTTTGTTTAAGATTTATTAACTTTACTCAGTAAATTAAAAATTTTATTTACATTTTATTCGTATTTATTAATTTATATTTTTATGCTTTTTGCATAAAAATTCTGGTCGATTTCAATATAATTCTGTTTTAATAATAATGCGCATCAATTGTTGTAGCGCTCTGATGTAGTTGCGCATAGAGCGTAAACATAGACACTCCGAAGTGGCGCGGTGGGAAACGTTTTGTTGCTCAACTCGGAGGAGACCCCAACATCCAGGAATGAAATTTGCTAATAAAATGATAAACACGACAGGCGGCGCTCTTATCCGCGACGAAATCTGTGGTGCACGACGACGACGATAATTATCCCATCGAGCGTTATTATCCGTTCTCGTGTATTGGTAATTACGAAAGTTTCCCGCAACCGTTTGTACGCGCTTGGAATATTCAAACACACGTATGTCCAAGTCGCGCGTAAGACTCTCACTCGATCTTTGGCGAATAGAGAAACTGTGTCTTATAATGTGTAACGAGAGTACGCTGTCATGCGTTAATAACTTACCGTGAATACCGGTATGTGCACAACAGTTGCGATGTGTGGGTGTAGTAAGAAAGTAGGGAGAGAAAAGAGAGAGAGAGAATGTTTTTTTTTTTTTTTTTCAGAATCTTGGGCCTGATTCTTGAAAAATATCTATGAAATATTGATATTTTCTTTACGTGGTATTTTCTGAAAATCAGAGGCCTGGCGAAGAAAGAGTTGAGAGAACGCGCAGAAAAATTGAAGAATAAGAGAAAATAAAAAAAAAAAAAAAAACTTCAGAACACCATTATCCTAAAGAATGCTATGCTTTATATTGATCTTGTGTGTTGTTTGTTGTGCCGCGAAGACGATGGTCTGTTCGTACAAATCGGCACCACTTTCCGCTTCCGTGACGAAGAAACGTCGTGCCCGCGCGCGCCACTTTTGCCTCTCCTCTAGTATCGGGCACTTCCAGTCTGTCGAACAAATGCTCAATCGATTATCGTGCGAACGTCGCCGTTGCAGCCCTCGCCTGCATCGCATTTTATCGAGTAGCTGTCGAGTTCACGTCGCGGCGAATTTCTAAAGGCCCCGCGATTTCACTCCTTCCAGGCGTTATTATATTCTCTTGCAGCGACCGTTACATCGATGGCCACATGTCAATCTTCAAGGCTTCATTTTCAATTAGGGAACGCTCAGGCCGATATTTATGGTCGTTCTACCGCAAGTAGGTACTTGAATGTTTCTCAGAATTTAATGATAAAATAGTAGCTTGGCCGCGATCGAGGGTATTTAAACTTGTCGCGTCGCATTTTTGAAGATCTTTAAACGCGTTTTTCTCGAAAAAAAAAACCACAATTTTTTAAACTGACGCAAGTAGTGAGATTCAGAAAAAACATGAATCATCACGAATATTCTCACTTCGCTCTAAGTTGTAAAGTACATTCACCAGTTATCACAATAGATGCCACGTGGCTCATACCGTACCGTGCGATATATAACCTCGTGAAGTGCTCGTGCATTGAATAGAAGTTTTCACACCCTGTCAATTGCATTTTTGCACGAACACGCATGCAACACTTTGTGTTCGTGTTGCAACTATTCTGTAGCAATTGGATGAGTAAAAATTCATGCGTTTCTTCTTAAGTTTCAGTTCTGTCGATTAACGCGTCTCTGACGCGTAAACTGTTGCAGTGCGTATACAAGTAATGCGTTATATATCATACAAATAAAAGTTCTCTGTGTGAGCAAATGTTCCTTTTTATCTTTACGACGCAACCTGATTGTGACAACGCGCGTGTTTGCACTTGACACAGATTTCAAACGGATTTATCGGGGATAATACATTTCTCAGCAATTCATAATGACACTCATCATCTGCGTAACATTAGACATGAGAATTGTCACAGTGTTTTTCCAGAAGATGTTGAAATATCTATTTGTGGAGTCTACTTACTGCAATATTACGTCGCGATTGATCTAATTACATTGCGCTCGTGAGTTATGTTTATATTAAATATCGTTTTCTAAAGTCATTGTAATGATTATTTTAAAGAAACAATCGCGCGTTGGCGTTCGATAATCGCAATTATCCGAAATTGCAATCCAAATAGAGAAATACCATCTCGGCCATTCGAACATTATTATGCGACGATTGGAGATATTGTTCGAGATAATCCGCGATATTGCAACAAGTAATCATCGCGAAACAAAACGCTCGCGTTTCGCAAGGATTCTGGCAAGAACTTATGTGCGCGAATAAACTGGTAATCCGTAAAGTCACGTACACCATACCACGAATACGCAAAACCGAGTCAGTTTCGTGTGTCTTTCTCGTGTGTCACTCCAGAATGCTATTTTGCGTTGGAGTTATTGTTGGAGTTGCAACAATAACTTGGCGAAGTAACACGCTCGTTTCGTAAGGGAGCAAACGTGAGTTGTTCTCTAAAGGGAACGAAGACAAGTTACAAGGAGAACGACGAGTAGTAGTACTATTACTCGTTTGTATAACTGGTCGCTCTCAAGACGGCATAAATTCGGAAGTCGTCAGAGAGAATCGTTAAAATTTATTTCAGAACTTTTTTAATATAAAAATGAAGCACCGCTCAAAATGAGAAGTTGCGTCGCTCGCTATTTATGTACCTTCTCTGTATACAGGAGTCAGTTATCTGCCATGTACTTCTCTCATTTATATAATGTAAAAAGTTTTTTTTTTACATGATTTTATAGAGAAGTATAAGATAAACATCTTTCTTGGCTTTTTTTTATAAAAAACTTATTTTTGAAAATATAAATTATAATTTCACAAGCAGATTCTTCTAAGTTACTCGTCAGTTTTTAATATAAGTACATATTTACATTGTTATTAAAAACTGTAGAGTTATATGTTATTGTTGTACACAACATAATCAAAAACAAAAAAAAAACAAATAAAAATAAAAGCAAACATAATTCAATGGAAGAGAAAATAGCGCTTTAAAGCATCGTCACGCAATGTAAAGAGAAAATGTAGACTACGCGTTCTTGGCTGGAGCAATCAATCTCCTTAGAAGACTCAGAAGATTATTAAATGCGTGACTTTGTAATAGCGGTCGAGCGAAATTAGTACTTTATCAAGTCTGTCATGCACTTAATCCAAACACATGCACGTATCTCTCTTATAAAAAACATCAACAATTTTTTATTCAATATTGTGAGTTTATTATAGTTTTATATCATACTTGTGTGTTATAAACGCGTGTAACAATGTATTGAATGTTTATTATACCGAGATCAGTATTGTATAAAACGTAAATAATATAATTTGATTAATGATGTTATTATCGTTAGTTCTCGAATTTACGAATCAATATTAACTAATGACAGTGTATATTGTCAATTATTATTTTATTACATAACAGAGAATTAATCAGGCGAACCAGGAACACGACGCGAACTCAAATGATTACTGGAGCGTGCAACTCGCTGAGACACAGATATCGTTCCGCATCTAGTCGACGACGTGAAGAAACTCCAGTTGCGATACTTGTAACGACAGTTTTGCTTTATGTCAGAAATATCATTGATGCGATAGGTGACAGTACGTCCACATACATTACGGGATCAAACAAATTGTTAACTGACGATAACGTGATGAAAACGTGATTATCGTCATTGACTCGTAAAAGAAAAAACAAAGTAGGAATGCATCCTTGTACCGTTTGAAACTCGACCAACTTGGACCTGACTGGAGGCTAAACGATAGAAAACTAGTGCAGAGTGTGATATCAGCTAACCAATTATAAGTAAAGGACGCACGCTGAAAGACGGAATAGATTGATATGATTGCGTTAACTTCCGTAATTTTTCATTTATAAGAGAATATATTTCTTATGATGGAAAATGTTTTCAAACGCATATTTCATTCTTAGATTATGCAACACGAAGGAGAGAGAGAGAGAGAGAGAGAGAGAGAGAGAGAGAGAGAGAGAGAGAGAGTCGTGGGCGAGATATAATTTGCAATATCCGCTCGTTTTTCGCAGGAAATAATTCGAAATATCTTCCCACGCGATTGTCTCACGTTTTTACGTGCGAGACAAAAAGTCGATCGAGTATGACAACGAGGGTAGATCCGGTCTAGGACGACGAAGCCGCGAGCGACCGTTTTGCAAACGTGCTGCCGGCACATCACGAGCAAAACGGCGAAAAGTTAAATGTCGAAATAGTAACGTTAGCTTTGAAAGGCTGCCAAGATTTCGAACTCTAATCTCAGAATATCGATAACTTTCGTGACGTTCACTTGGATCTGAATGACTGAACGCTAGCTTTGAACATGCAAGATAAGATTTTCAGAAAAAATTTTACGAACAATTTATGCAAAAAAAATATAATAAATAGATTTGTTTTATTTGCCTGCACTGGTTGCACTAGTTCACAGTCTATCTTTTTTTATCCATATTAAAAGAAAAAAGATAGACTGTGAACTAGTGATGAAAATTAAAAGTATATTTTAAATATATGTTATATACAAGAGTTCTAGAGTCTAGGTCTAAATGTCAATTTAATATATTCAGTAGAAAATAAATTACGACGAATTTTTGATTGGATGCAACTAGTACGCACTGAGTGCGCTTTCTTTCAATGTGCAGTAGAATATTTTAGTGTTAGTATTTTACTACTTTACACTGAAAAAGGACGCACTCAGCACGCACTAGTGCATCTAATCGAATTCGTCGTTAGTTAGTAATATCCGTATTATGTATTTTTTAAATAGACAACGTTTCATTAAAACATTTTTTATGTGTGTGTGCAAAACTTATTGCTATTTTTTTTAATTATTAATTGAAGTAATTTAACAAATAAACAGTTTTAAGATTTCTTTAATATAAGTTAATTATTAAAAATTTTTGAATATAATTTTAGATTAATATTTACTTATCTTAGTTTAGAACCCGTACTGTAAGTGAAAGTGTGTACATACATATATATACACACATATATGTTCTGCAATGCTTACCATCAAAGACAGAGTAATGATTTCTGTGAATATTGCATAAAGGTTTTCACTTGTTTGCCAACAGATGACACTTCTTGTACGAGTTCTGGTGAGTTTGTACAAAAGTAACACAACATTTCTCAAAGCTTTTGAAATCACATTTATAAACCGCTATGAATCAAATTAAAACTATATAAACAGGTATAATCGATCGATCAGCTGTGTTTCTTTCTTTTCTTGTTTTCGTGTTGTGTCTCAGCAATAACGATTTCAACTTTCGGTCTTTCTTTGTCTTCTTACAACATTACATCATTTTATCGGGAAGAGAAAATAAAATATCTCTGCAAAAAAACTATCTGATGGCTGCATGTAGTGGTGGTTTCTACTATAATATATACGACAAAGGTGCGTATTATATTCAGTTTAAAATAATAAAATAATACAGATATTTATATCTAAATTTTGTTAAAACTATATTACTTAAATATAAACAAACAACTACTTTTTAAAATTAGTTTAAGACAGAATATACATTTAAACGGATCGTAAATAAATCGTGTTTTCAAAAACGGTGTTTATCATCGCTGCGGTAATCACAGCTGACGTGTTTTCACATGACTCATCTGAAAATAAGACAAACTTTTATAGATTGGTACATGAATCTAGTTCTTGACATAGTCGAATTTTGAAATAATGTGTTTGAAACATAATGACAGACGTTTAAAACAACATTCTTTTGTTTTTTAATCAAAATCCTGTTTATTTTGTTGCTGCTAACAAACTTACGCACTAGATAAAAAACATCCTATGTCAAAAACTAATTTTTTGTGTTTAAAAAAAGTATAAATGTTTCCGATTAGTCAAATCGTTTTTGAGAAATAGTTTTGTCGCGCGTCTTGAAAATCTCGTTTTGAAAAAACAACGCGTTTAAAGTTTTACATTCACGTGCTAGAATCTATTCAACTATAGTTTTGTGTAACTTTTCGATTTTTGTCGAGATGTAACTTTATAACTTCACTAAAACATTGTTTTAAGATAATATATTTAAAAACAATGTAAAATAAAAAGAAACTGATTTTTTTTATTCTTCTAGATGTATATCACCTTGAGATTCTTTAATATTAGCTACTATCATCTTCGATGATGACGTTAAAACATATATCGGTTGAAATATATATTAATTAAATATCGATTAAATATATCGATTAAATATATATCAATTAAATATAAGTTGTGTTGAGAACATTGATTCTGTATCATGCAATGTAGTGAAAATTACAAAAGCAAATTTACTAGTTGTTAAGCAATAAGATCATAGATATATTTTAGTAAATTTCACTACATTGCATGTGATACAGAATCGATCCGAGATCTTCTAATATAAATCGATTAAATATGTATCGAAAAAAAGATATATCGATTATACATAACTCGATTTGTATGTAACTAGATTTTGTTAATGTTTCGTTGTTAATCAAACGGAAAAATATTCGCTATATTTTTTTGAGTACTTTATTGACTGAAATTTACAAATGTGCGCGAAAATACGGCAAAAAGCATATTTTCAAAACATTTTCAAGACGACGCAGGATCCACAAGCTCCTTGTTCTCGCGTCTTCCCTGTATTTTCCCACTCTTTGACAAGTCTTGCGAGTTTCAGTGTTTTCATACAACATGCTGCAGCGAGGGGAGGGGGAGATGCGTACAAAGTGACGACAAACACCTTAAAACTCAAAAGTCTTGCGCATAACGAAATCTGCGCGTACAAAGATCGCGTGGCTGTCACAGCAGCTGTTTTACAGCAGCTACATGCGGCTGAAACCACAGAAGAAAACTATGTGTATATGTAATAAGTGCGTTAGTGTCTGTAACAGTTGTTAGTGGAATAGTAATACGATAGAAGCAGATGAAAAAATTTGCTGAGAAAATAGAGTTTCGTGAAAATACAGAACATAAAAATATAATAACTTTGTGTTTTTTGTGTCGAATTCATAAGAGAGAGAAATATCGCACAATAATTTGTTCTTGCTTCTGTAGTCCAGCTATACACTAGGTTAGGTATATTTAATAATCTATTTAATCTTAAAAAAGAATTATTTGTTCGTGATTTTTTAAACTTATTATAAAATATATATTTTATAGTAAGTTAAAATGTGTGTGTGGTTGTGTGTGTTGGTAGAAGGAAAGAGAGAAAATGATAATAAGGTCATTGTAATAATATGATTCCATTCAATATCTCAGCAATTAAATAATCGAATTCTAGTGATCACGTTGGTTGATTAAATTGACCCTATTCAATTGTTTTTGCAACAGAGAACAGACGATTGTGTTACAGTTAATATGTTCTATTCCAAGTGTGTACTTGGACTTACAATTAGTTATTTCACAGACACCACACAGATAACCCTCGTATAACGCGGTACTTAAACAACGCGGTTTTGATATAACGCGGTTTACAAATTGTAGTAAAATAAAGTCTATAATCTCGTTTTTTTCAATATGTGCGCTTATGCGAGCCTCGTGTAACGCATTTCTGTGAAACGGAATATCCGCGTTATACGAAAATTATCTTATAATCAGAGCCTTCCAATTCGCGCTCACAGCGTGCAACAGCACATACAAAATGTCCGGTAATAGCCGTACAATCGTTTGTGGGAGTAGATAGAAGGTCTTTCTAATCTAACCTAACCCTAACCCTAACTAACTTACCTACGAGAGTTTGTACTATACTATATTATACTATACATATATGGACCGTTTATTTTGAAAGTGGTGTAAGTCCATTTTTGAAAAAAAATGAGATATCACGTAATTCATGCTTAATTTAATGTAAATTTTTTATGTATAACTAGTTTCTCGAAACAAAAGAAAATGGACTTACACCACTTTCAAAATAAACGGTCCATATAAGCCAAGTATTCTCTTAAAAAAGCCATTTGACAGTTTAATAATAGAATGAGATAATTGTTTTACATCTCACTCTCAGGATGACTGTTAAGAATCGTCATATTTGTACTACAGTTATCAAGTGCTATACATTACATATACATTATATTACGTGTATAAACTTGCAAACACATCTAATATATTTATTTCTTTTATATTTCTTTCATATATTTTGCATTTGTTTTTCGCATTTTCTTTTATTTCTTTTTTTTATTTTCATATTTTTTTTCTTTTGCTATATTTCTTTTATGTGATATTATTAACATGCACCTCATTTTTTTCAATACTGACAACAAATATTGAAGATTAGCTAAATATAGTAGCTGTCACGAGTGAGAAAGTTTATAAGCCTCCATCCAAATGATAATGGTTTTAATAAATTGCATTTAATTTAGCATGTTAATTATACATACTGTTTTGCTCATGTTGATAAAAAAAGTTGATTTGATCTCATTGTAACAAATAACAAATAATATAAATCTTAAAGTACTATTTTTTTTTCTTTTTGTGTAAAAGTCACAAAACGTTAAAGCAAAATCATTTTTCGCCCATGTCCCTGAACAATCTTTACGGAATCTCTCGATGTTTTTGTTTCAGAATAGAATAAATTTGTAATTATAGTAGAAGAGTAAAGTCTGACGTAGGCGTCTGAGCAGGCGCTGGAATTCGAAAATCTCATTAAAAAAAAATGAAACCAAAGCAAGAATAATATCACAAGACAATGGAGACAGAACAAAATAGGACAGCTAGATATTCTTGTGTAGTAAGTGAAATATTTCTAAAATATATTTTATATATACATGCCAATTTATTAAAAAAAAATGCATTACTCTTACAAGATATGTCGGAAGCATTTTATATCAATCATAGAGTTGGTTCGTCACAAAAATGCTCATTCTAACGAACTGCATATATGTTTTACATGTGGAAGATCTTTCATATGTTCGCACCTTCTGAAAATCCATTCAAGAAGCATTCACAGAATAACTTATGCGTGCAACGTAAGAGAAAGTTTTTCAAAACTATGTGTAAAATGTACATGATATATATTTCACATAATAATGTAATACCATTGCAATGTTATTTTTTCGCAGGTGTGTGGGAGAGGTTTTACTACGTTTTCTGCTCTTAATCGGCACAGACAAGTTCACTTTCAAGTGGAACACAAATGTAATTTTTGTAACAACAGTTTCAAATATTGGGAGTACTTGAAAGAACATTTGAATATCTGTGTAGCTCGTAGTGAGAAAGATTGACAATGTACTCTTCGTAATATAAGTTTCAGTTACCAGAAAAATTTTTTACGAACATAATTTTATATCCGTATTATATTTGTGTGTAATAAAATATATTATCCTTTTTAAGATATATAAGATATTATATAATTCTCTGAGCAGAAATACATTAAATTAGATGCGGAGCTTTTCAACGTTTGCCGCACGATTTAATAGTTTTCATAAAGAAATTATCTGTTTCTTAAAAATTGATTTGTTTTCAATCGAATAATCTTCATTGTACGTTTTACTCTCTAAAATACGAAATTAATTGAAATGCATATACTGCGTACATGTACAACGAGTGACGCAAATGTTTCGAAGCACTTAACGAATTCGTACAACAAGGCCATGTATAAGCAGACTACTTCGCAGATTGAAGAGCGGGACACTTGCCGTCGTGTTTCAACTACGTAATGAAATTTCGTATGCGTATTCTAACTTAATTGAATATTCAGAAAGCAAACTCGGCGTTTGAAAAAGAAAATGTATGAGCAAGTTACGCGCGGATATATCAAACCTCCTCTCGTAAACCAAAAAAATATGAGAGCTACAAGAGTTGTGTCTGGATAGTCTTAAAAATACATATACTAGATCTCCTTATAAATATTATATCCTCTTATACATTTTCTAAATTGTACTAACGTGCAACTTTCTGTAAAGTGGAAAAAATCAACAGAGTTTCTCAAAAACCAGTCAGACAACAAAGAAGAAGATCAATCAGTCTCTCAATAAAACAAATTTAATTAAATCTTGTTTTTCTTTGACATATAAAATATGTATACACATATACAGGATGTCTGCAAAATTTTGACACAGCCGAAGTGTGAAAGTGGATTGACTTTAATTTAAAACCAAAAAATCATGTATCATTTTGCAACATTCGCAATAGTTATTGAGTGATTAATTAATACGTGATTAATATGTGATTCGATGAGCGCGTCCGGATGATTTTCAATCGTGAAAATCAGCTGATCGCAAGAAGCTGTGCCACACGCCGCTCGCTTGTTTGGGGATCGCCACTGAAGCAAGTCACTTTTCTTTACAACTGAAAATCGTACACGCCTACAGAGTCCGGATCATCGGTTCCCACGAGCTCATTAGGTCACATGTATCGATTAATCACTCAATAACCATTGCGAACTTTGCCAAATGATACATGACTTTTCTGTTCAGATTGACCCAATCTATCATCACATTTCGGCTTTGTTCAAATTTTTCAGACACACCCTGTATATACATAAGACGTGTCATAAAAAAAAGCATGGCATTTCTTCGTTAGACGCGCTTCGATATAAAGGGAGCTTTCTGAACTACGGGAGCTTGCAGAATCCCCGAGCGGCGTAATAAACTTTTATTCGCAAACTCATTCAAACGAAGCACTCGTAAACTAGTAATTTCCGCAGCGCTTTAACACGGAGTTCATTTTTTTTTTCTCGTGAGGGAAATACCCATGGCATTTGCATCTAACCCGCGGCAAGCGCGGGTTACATTCCTTACGTTAAAAACTGGTTTCGCTTTGTTTGCGAACGGAAGGACGTGCTACTCGGCACGTTTCTAAACTCGGCGATAAGTTACGTTCCGCGAACAGAGCTACATAAATCCATGATCTTCGTGACGACTTATGCCGCGACGCGTGCAACTTGCTCTGTGAAAATTTCTTTTGTCTCGTTTCTCGCGCGTGCGATCGATGTGAGCGACAAGAAACCGCGCGTTTTCTACAACGTTTTAGTCATCTCTTTAGCATACATCTTGCAAAGAACGAAATCAATAACGTTAAAGGACACGTTGTGTGACACGTCACGTGTGTGATTTGCAATTATAGGTTTGTTTTATTTTCACGCACTGGCTGCACCGGTTCACAGTCTCTATCTTCTTTCTTTTAACATGAATAAAAAAAAGATAGACTGCGAACTAGCGCAGCCAGTGCAGAGAAATAAAACAAACCTTATACGATGAAAAGTTTTTCTTTTCAATATATCAAAGAGAGAAATAGAGAATTGTAATAATTGCGTGTTTCTTTTTTGTGCAAAAAAAATTTTTGTTCTCTCACAGATGTCGCCGAAATATTGTTGCAGGGGTGAATCCGTCGTAATGATAAATCAAGTTTATTAATTTACAAGTGTCACGATCAGTTGCGTCACGTCGATGTTACATAGATCGGAATAAAAAAAAAAATAGACAAAAAAATTTACGGCGACAATTAGCGCGGCAATGTCTTGCAAGCAGTTAGCTGATTTTTATTAGCCATTATCGTCGTTCTTGCAACGTGGTTCCTGGTGCTGTATAGTTCTCCCCTTCGCGGCGACCGAATTTTTACTGCTGACGGTGTCCACGATATTGCGTCCTTTCGCTTTTACGACGACGCGTGTACCGATGCGACGATGCGAAACATTGCTGTGGTTCCGCGCCACATGAAAGAAGGCACCTGCGGTGACGCGCCGAGCGGAACAATTAGTCGTAAATGTTCACGGAACGTCGTGTATTACGTCGGGGGGGAGATGGCGCGACAAGCTTTTATCGTTGATGTATCGTTTAATGGCAAAGCACGTGGTCACTCCCGTTTCGCATGGGGTTAGAAAATTACGAGTGTGCCGAAACGGCACACAAACGGCACCTCGTGTGTGTGTGTGTGTGTATGTGTGTGTGCGTGTGTGCGCATGTTAGTAACCGGAAAGGAGCTGCTCGCAGGAAAACGCGTTTGATGGCGACACAGCCGTGCGTCTCCGCAACGTCGGAGATGTAGGTATATACTTCACAAAAAAAAAAAAAAGCGTCCGTTCGCGCGTCACAACGAGTTTTCCCTCGTTTCTTCGTAGATTTAGCTTGTCATCCAGGTGATGGGCCACGCTCGGGTGTGGTACGGAGGGTGCTGAGATGCGAAAATAATTCCTCTCCAGACGGTCGTTACGCTGTCGTTAACCCATTAACGCATCGATCACACAGCCGAACAAAGAGCGACGTTCGCTCGTTCGTCGACGACGAAGCGCCGCTGCATCGCGAGTTCGCGCTACGCGGGTCGCTCAATTTTTATCTGCGTCTCGCTTCTTTTTTTTCTTTTTTTTTTTTTTTTTATTGTTCGACTCGAGGGAGAGCGGAAATGCTTATGGAAACAAAGAACTATCGTAAAACGCGTCATAAAGATGCTACGTTGCTGCAGCTGCTGGCTCGTGTACACGCTACACGGCGAATAAAGAAGTCGGTTGTTACTACACGCGCTTTATGATGATACTGCAACTATATACATGTTGTATTAGCGATGTGTGTATTTAAAATATGAAATGCTCAGCAAACAAATCGAATTGTTTTCGATTCGATTACAATATTTTATTGAAGATACGAGAAATGTACTTTTTTTTTTCTTCTTACACGACAAAACTTTACATAAAAGTTCGTTCTTCTATAATGGAAAAACTTTGCTCTCTCTACACGTTACGGAAATGAAATAAATTTTTACAAGTGAATGGAGATAGAGAAGATATCTCTATCTCGTGATATATGTATCTATTTGATGTTTGCTTCGAAAGTTACTCGATTGCTCGTTGTAGATATTAATAAATTGTCCCTTTCTCGGGGGACGCATTTTCTTTCGCTTTCGTTCTCCGTGCGCGGTGGATGTTATATTATTGTTTGTGTACGCGCGGGCGGTCCCCGATACTGCGGCAAGCTGAAAGAGGGGCATTTCGCCCGGGAGAGAGTCGCGAGGGCAATTACTCTCGCAGTTTTCGTGGCCGCGGCACAGGGCGGTGACGCGATTTACGGTTTCGCAAGGCAATGTAATAACCTATCTAAGCCTCCTCCCGGAGGTTCTAATCCCGAGTTACGAGGACCCGGGAACGATTTAGTCAATCGTACCGCCATAATGATATCGTAATATCGCGTTCCGCTATGGCGAGGAACGTCGCGAGAGATACGGATGCTAAGCTAATAATAAATGAGTTTGTTGTTCGAAACGGGGCTCGTGCGTAATCGCTTTTGTCCGCTTATAACCGGTGGAGCAATGAGTTAAGGACCGTTTCCGCCTCGGGACGAGGGTGAATGCAAATGTGTTTGTTTTCTGTCTCTGTTGCGTCTCTGGGTCAAGAATTTGGATTGTTTTAACAATTGCGACATATGGAAAATTATTTATTAATATCGTAATTAATATTGTTCTGATCTAATTTATATTAATGAAAGTATAACGAACTGCGCTTACGACAAAATCACAAAAAAAGAAGCGTCGTGAAACGGCTCTTCGTCATTAGGTCGAAAATAAAAAAAATCAAAGATCACAAACGATCTTCATATTTCCCGCTACGGTCCTCATAAGACAAGTCATAAAAATAATTATAGCTTGTCGCGCGAGACAGTACAAGCAGCTCTCTATAGCTCTGGCTGGTGACGTCGTTAACGTCAACCCCCGGAGAAGGCGCGCGTAAGGGCGCGCGAGCTCCCGTAAAAACTGCTCCCGGAAAAGGGGGCGAGAATGTCGTTCCAACGTTTCATTTCGTTGCGTGGGAGATTAACGATACGGAAAGATAATTTATTCGTTCGATTGGTTCGATGCAAAAAATTGCCGTACGTACTGCCTGACACGAGCCGATATCAATTTGCTTGCAACCCACCGCCCCTTCGTACGCCTTTCTCTCTCTCTCTCTCTCTCTCTCTCTTTCGTTTCTCTTCTCGCAAATTAAAAGAAGAATAAGGATAAACGAAGAAGAGAAGAAGAAGAGAGAGAGACAAAAGCGAGACGAGATAAACGAGCAGACGACGTCGTTGAATATACGAAAAAAGGAGAGCAAACTTAATTCGCGAGACAAATGGCAGTGTGGATTTACGGTCGAAATTGTTCCGGAATCTCACGTGAGAAGTAATCCTCGCGACTGCGCGTGATCGAAGCTCGATCGTAACGACGGGAATTAGTCCGTGAGCGCACAACGTCGAGATGCAACGGGTCATTTGTATTCACGGAAGGTCACGAAACACAGCGTCAAAGGTATAGAAGGGTATGTACTAACGACTTCGCGATGTAGGTGGTCGCGACGGGACTCTAATGTCACACCTC